TATACGACATGAGGTGCTCATACAATACAACCAGTGAATGTACAGATAAAGAATAAGCTCTTGCATGCCTCAACTATCTATAAAAGAGCCAACCTATAGTTTTAAGAAGTGAAAAGATGGTCATAATCATCCACACTCCAGCTGCAACATGACAACTGAGTGAGTTATTCCACCGTACCTTGTCCTGATGGACTGAGACTAACTCTGATGATAGACACTAGTCATAGGACTCAGCTGAATACACTTCTGTCTTCATGGCAATGGAGGGGCAAGCCGGCGCCTTGGCTCCTGAAAGCAAAATTTAGAAAAACGGGAATTGCCAATGGGTGAGAATATTCCTATGATAAAATGCTATAAAAGCCAAAATAGCAACCAAAGAGCTTACAGAAGAGATAAATAGAGTATACTGAAACAAAAGGACAGCTCAAAGTGGCTCCTACAGCTAGAATGGCTGGATAAAAGAGAAGATTGTTCAGCCTGTCTTTCCTCCAAAAATCCGCCATTTTACCACCACTTTGGGTGCGCGTTAATTAGAATCGCTTAAGTGCAAAAGGTCCATTGCTTTCGATACCGTTTCGATCCTGGGTAGTATCGAAGTATCGAGTACTTTGGTATCGGTATAAAACATCACTACCACAGTACCCGCTGTCTCTAAATTGCTCTATCCTCTATCTATCTTTTCTTCCACTAAGTATGAGGTGTGAACAGTGCCAAAACATATAAGTATTATATAGACAGCTTTCTCTGCCATTGGATACATGCTATAGATATACATACATATATGGATGCACCATTATACATACTAAAATGATAGTTTGTACAGATATTGATACATCTATGGCATATCTTCACGTCATTTAGATCAGATCATCATGATCATCACCCCGCCTATAGTAGGCGTGTCTCCTGTCAAGAAAGCTAAGAAGATGACTATGAAAATAACTAGCAAGTTTACCCAGTTTGAGGTATAACCTTTAGTTTTTTCCTAATTGAAACGAATAATACAAATGGTAACCCTTGTATATTGTAGCCCTTAGATGTGTCAGCAATCTGAAATAGATCCAGTCTCATTCTGAGGTTATTCGTCAGGGCTAAACCATCTATGGCTAAACACTGAGGTCCGAGACAGTTAAAGGCTGAGTTAGCCTTGAGTGTGTTTGCTCCATGTGAGTGTTGGTGGGATATAGCTTTATGTTTCAGGGAGTTCTATCCCTGCTATAATACTTCCTTGTATTTTTTATTTATATATAAATTTACAGGACCATGCAAACAATGCTGGGGAAAAGAACAAAGAAAGCTTGAATACCCCTCAAGAAAGTAATGAAACTAGTCCAGATACCCGATGCAAAACTAATTAATTAGATGAATGATAATGGTGACTCTTAATATTAACAATTAACAATGTTTTAATGCCTTCCTCATTTATGACAATTTTTCATAAAACATTTGGGTTACCACTTATGTACTGGTCCAACTGAGTTGACTGAAAATATGAACGGTAATTTTCCCTCTAAATAAAAATTTTAAAACAAAGGTTTGAGTAAGTGGAAACACTGTAGTAACTAGTACAAATTAGGTAGCACTTAGCGATGGTGCATATCATCAATAAATGACAGCTGAAAATAATATTAAAGAATGATGGAGGCACTCTGCTAAAAATGCAAAAAAACTAACGCCCACTCAGGGCATGGCTGAGTATCTTCCAGGTTAGAACTCAGGGTTTCTGTCATGATTCACTCAGTATAGCTAACAGGTAACATTTAATGCACAAAATAATTATGACAAAAATCACAACAGCACACACAAGTAGTAAAAAAAACATTGTATCTATGTATGAGTGTTAATGTAATCTAAAGCAGAACAATATAGGTCAATGCCATAATTTTCACTATGACTTAATGGTGGTACAAATGAGGGCAACTCTCTCAGAACACCATAAGGAATATCACACTCAATACGAGGTACAAATAACCTATCGTAATCATCTTCCAGAGGTATAGGGCCATTCCAATCTATTCCATAAAGATTATCATCCTAT